CACAGCAACAAGTGAAGGTACACACGCTGCAACAAGTGAAGGTACACGCAGCAACAAGTGAAGGTACACGCAGCAACAAGTGAAGGTACACACGCAGCAACAAGTGAAGGTACACACGCTGCAACAAGTGAAGGTACACACGCAGCAACAAGTGAAGGTACACACGCTGCAACAAGTGAAGGTACACACGCTGCAACAAGTGAAGGTACACACGCTGCAACAAGTGAAGGTACACACAGCACCAACAATAAGACGTTTTCTCTCTTAGGGGAAGCTGAAGAAGCCGTCAGGATCTCGCAGTCGTAATACTAGGGACTCGTGTCAGGGTGAGCTGTCACACCACGAGAGGGGAGCGACGCACTTCAGTGGCTCCACCCACAGCTTCCAGAGATACGACATCCTGCCCAGTTCGTTCGGCTCCACGTGAGTGTGAAAGAAACTTTAAGAGATCCAGTCCCTTTCTTTCTAAGCTCCTTGCATGCCATCATCTGGATGACTGAGAACCTACACAGACACAAGCTGCTAAACAGACTCCGCCCCCTCGTATTCAAGGACCAAACTACAGCTCAGATGCTCGTGTTTCTCTGTCTGCAGGCCTCACATCTCCATGCTGTTGAGGATCAACTCATCTGACGGGCTGGTGCTGAGCGCCACCAGCAGGCAGCGAGGAGGAGGCGCGATGACGCTCAGAGTCTCAAACGGCCACCTGCTGCTTCAGTTTGGGAAAAAGTTTAACCTACGCAGCTACAGGAAGTACAACGACGACCAGTGGCACACGGTGAGCACGCACAAAAACACAAACACATGCACACGAACGCACATGCTTGTTTTCATAACTTAGTGAGGACATCTCATTGACATAATGCTTTCCCTAGCTGCTTACCCATCAAAAATGAATGCCTAACTCTCAGCCTAGTCCTAACCATAACCTAACTGTAACCCTGACACTAAAACCACGTTTTGGTTAGCATGTTAGCGTTGAGCTAACGTTTTCTGCTACCAGCTGTGTTTGTGTCTCAGACCACCTGAGTTTACCTGAATCATGTAACCTGATCGCTCCGTGTCCCTGCAGGTGTTCATAAAGCTTGAAGGGCAGAAGATGAGTCTGATTGTGGACGGTATCAGTGTTCAGTCCAACAGGATATCTGGACGAGACCGGACTCGTCTCACCGCACCTTTATACGCAGGAGGAGTCCCTGCTTCTGTGGCGGTAAGCGTTTCTCCTGCTGGTTCCACGCTCAGGCTGAAACCTCTGTGCAGTGAAGGTCGCGCCTTTCTGCTCTTCTTCACGCTCGGTACTGAAGCTCTGTGCTCTTTCTTAACCTCAGGCTCCGGGTTCTTCCGGGTTTGTGGGGTGCATCCGGGATCTGATGCTGAACGGAGCCCCTGCAGGAGACCCCGCTCAAAGCCAGGGGACAGTGCCCTGCTTCGCGACCCCTCTGCAGCCCGGAGCCTACTTTTCTGGACGGGGAGGACACATCATGATCGGTACGTACCGTTAGTTTCTGTGCACGTGTCGGCCACATTGGGTCGTCATGTCTGAGCGGCGCCTCTGTCCCTCCCTGCAGATGAGTCCTTGGCTCTGAGTCGGGATCTGGAGATCCAGCTCGAAGTTCGACCCATCGTGGACTCTGGGCTGCTGTTGCATGCTGGGACATCGTCTGACCACCACCTGAGCTTAATTCTCATCCAAGGAAAGGTGAGACTCGGGCAGCGTTTCTCCTGAACGTGCTCTACTTGCTGTTTTTCAGGTTTTAAATTTGTGATGTCAAATATTTTTATTTCTGAATGTTTTTATATCATAACTTAAATAAATGACTCAGTTTCCTCTGAAAAGACGACATAAAGGAGTCAGCGTGTAACAGCCAGACCTCTAAATAAGACCTGAACATCAGCTTAGAGCTGCAGGTATCCTCAGTTTGCAGTGCCCTACTGTTCCCCACTCCCACTCAAATCAGTTCAGTTTTATTTACACAGCGCCAAATCACAACCACAGTCGCCTCAAGGTGCTTTATATTGTACAGTAGATCGTACAATAATAGATACAGAGAAAACCCAACAATCATATGACCCCCTATGAGCAGCACTTTGGCAACAGTGGGAAGGAAAAACTCCCTTTTAACAGGAAGAAACCTCCGGCAGAACCAGGCTCAGGGAGGGGCGGGGCCATCTGCTGCGACCGGTTGGGGTGAGAGAAGGAAGACAGGATAAAGACATGCTGTGGAAGAGAGACAGAGGTTAATAACAGATATGATTCAATACAGAGAGGTCTGTTAACACATAGTGAGTGAGAAAGGTGACTGGAAAGGAAAAACTCAGTGCATCATGGGAATCCCCCGGCAGCCTACATCTATTGCAGCATAACTAAGGGAGGATTCAGGGTCACCTGGTCCAGCCCTAACTATATGCTTTAGCAAAAAGGAAAGTTTGAAGCCTTTGAAGCCTGTGGGGGTCATGCATCAGAAATGACACACGTGACTTTACTGGGTTAGAAATGGGGCTGGTGGTTGTGGCGTGCGGTCCTTCCTCCTGCTTGGACCGCTGAGGCCTCCTCGGAGTGAATCTCTAAACTTGAGCTCATCAGTACTGCGTGTGTGTGTCAGGTGACCGTTTCGGTGAACGGCGGGAAAGGAGAGACCTCTGCATCGTTCATTCCCGAAGAGCCGCTGTGCGACGGCCGCTGGCACGCCATCTCAGGTGAGTTTTGTCCTCAGACGCGTGCCCCGTGCACCGCCCTGTCGTTGTACCGCTCTAACGCTGAAATGTCTCTGCAGTGGTGAAGAAGAACAACGTCCTGCAGCTGCACGTGGACGGAGCCAGCGAGCGTGCCGTCGGTCCCAAAAAGGGCCGCTCCACGGGGCCCAAGGAGGCGGTCTACCTCGGAGGCGTGCCAGGTGAGTGCACGGCGTTCACAGACCACCTCAGTGCTGCAGACTGGCCTCCACCACCTTCAGTGCAGCCGTTTCCTGTTCCCACATTCCTGACATCCTCGCCACTTTGTCCGTGTGACCAGTTTCTTTGATCATTTATCAGATTTTAATCAGACGTCATCAAATCTGTCGCCTCCCGTCTAACGATTGATTGGTCACACTACTCATTACTGCATAACAGGGATACAGTCGCACACGTGGTCAGTGCAGCGCCTCATTAACACGTCACTCCTCTCTCTGTCCACCAGGTGGCGTCACTGTACCCGGTCTACCCGCTGGGCTGGTGTCCTTCCACGGCTGCGTCCGCCGGGCGAGCATCAACAACAGAGCGGCGCCGCTGTCAAAGCCGCTCGCTGTGCACGGCGCCGTGGGAACGCGCGGCTGCCCACATGTTTAACCCCACCCCCTCATATCTTACCTTCACACTCCCTGAGTACACATCAGCACCGGTGGTGGGCGTCACATTACTGTAGCTAATTTAAAATATCCGAGTATTTATTTTTTAAGAAATGTGTATTTTATATTTTTCCCCGTTTGGTGCTGCAGAGACGGAACGATGATGTCATCGAGCGGCACGGTAAAGCCAAGTTCGATCATCTTTGCACGCTTCTTCTAAATCATCCAGCAAACCGTCGTGTAATCGTGCGTCTGCTGCAGACGCCGACTCTAAACGCTGATCAGTGAGCACAGACTGTACGTGGAAGATGGACGCAGCTGCTTCCTCTGCGACTCGGTGTCGGTAACCTCAACGGTGATCCTTTGATTCAATCACTGCACTCAGATCAGCTCAGCAGAGGCTCGTAGACTTCTGTCCAATCAGAGTCTCCGCCCGCTCAGTCCATCTTTGATATACAGTCTGTGAACACGAGCAACATCCTCAGGTAGACAAAAAACAAAGCCTGCAAATCTGGGGAATGTCTGATTTCGTGACCTTTGACCTCACATAGTAAAACTTGAATATTCAGGTTTGACATGTGAACGTTACGTCCTCGCCGGTCTGCAGGCGCCGTTTTTATTCCATCTGAAACACGAAGCCTTGTAACTCCTTTGATCCCCCGTCCCTGTCACATGTTTAAATAAAGTTTTCCCATACCAACAGTCTTTGTGTTTTACATTCATAAAAAGAAGCTCATGTTTCAGTCATTACGTTTTTATTAGAAAGAGCTGAATACACCCGAAGCCCCGCCCTCTTCAGAGGAAAAAAAAGGTCATGAAGGGGTCAAACCTTTGATAAAAGAAAAAGTGAAAAAAAAATGAAACAGATGATGTCACAGAGACTCTAATCCAGACTCATGTCCTCCTCGTCCTTCTTCTCCTTCGACTCTTCTCTGCTGCCCTGCATGGCTCGAGCGAACGCCTCCACATCTGCTGACACACACAGATCAATAACCAAGAATCCAAGAGCTTGGACACAGTAACTCAGTGTTGCTGTGGGAGAAATGTCACAGATTAAACTGTAATAATACGTCGCAGACTGATCCCAGATCAGACGGTTCTGCTCTGAGCTGCTGCGTCTCAGGGTTTTCATTCTCCTGAGTGTGTGTGCGCCTGTTTAGGCAGCTCTGTGAGGACCAGAAGATGAAATGCTACGATACATTGTAGAGGCTCAAAATGTGGTTTTAATGTCAGGGTTACAGTTAGGTTAGGGATCACTGTTCCCTCCAAGCTGAGCACGTGAGCAATCGCGCATTGCTGACACGTCTCCGCGCACAGAAAATCAGCGAAATAAAATAAAAACATGTATTTATTTTATTTCTAATTCAGGCTGGATGCTTTTTTCTGTGTGGGGAGACCATGTTAGCGGTGCGCGATTGCTCACGCGCTCAGCTTGGAGGCAACATTGGTAGGGATTCATCTTTGATGGTTAGGAGCAGCTAAGGAAAGCATTATACCAATGAGATGTCCTCACTAAGATAGCAAAACGAGAATGTGTGTGTGAGGTAAAAGGCGATCGTGGACTCAATCATAAATGGACTGATGTCCTCCAGAGAGCAGCTGGTTAATGCTAACTGACCTGCAGGGGGCGCTCATGTCAGGACACTGTGACAGCGCCACATGCAGACGCCCATTGTCTGCGAACGTCCTGTGTGTGAGGATAAACGCAGCACAAACAGGAAGTTCAGCGTGCGTTTGGTTCACTCACCTCCACGGTTGGCTGCGTCCACGGCATCGGGTGGCAGTCCAAACTGACTCATGAGGGGGCCGAGCTGCCCGGAGGCCAACGCACTGCTGAACATGCTCATGGACTGGAGGGGAGGAGAGAAGAAAAGCGAACGATGAGTGCGGCGCTCAACGCGTTTACATCATCGCCGAGCGTCGCCAACGTTACGTTGTACCTGCTGGAACTGAGGAGAGTTCAGGGTGTTCTGGATCTCCTCGGCGCTCTGCGGCAGACTCTCCCCACTGGGGAGAAAGGGGAGGAGCCTCTGCTGGACCTCGGCGTTGCTCAGAATAGGAGCCATCATCTCTGGGGTGCACACGCTCGCCAGGTCCACTGCAGAAGGAGATCAGAGCTGTGAGTGTCTGCGCTCGCTTTCAGAGGCACACGTGACCTCAGTCATGCGACTCACCTGCTGAGCCCGGAGCCCCTGCTGCCGGCACATTCATGGTGGCCAGGATGCTCTGAAGATCGCTGAGCTGGATGGGCTGGTGAGGGGCGGGGCTTCCAGTGGAGGCCGGGGCCACGGGAGTCTGAGCCGGGGCTGTAGAGGATAGAAGGTGGGAGGAGTCAGGGGGTTTCCAGGTAACAATCAGATGCAGGTGACATCAGAAAAAATGAATCGAGTTGCTGTGATTTACTGTAAACAAAGACGAGAACATTTAGGACCAATCAGGTTCCTCCCTGATGTCATCGTCAAGGAGGAACCTGATTGGTCCTAAATGTTCTCGCAGAAAACTACAATTAAACCCATAATTATTCATACTGGGGACAAATTTTGAGTTGCTTTGATTCAACCAGCAAGAATTTTTTGACTGACAACAACACAGATGTCTCCCAAAAAATCATTGTGGAAAAAAAACATTTCTCAGCTTTTTTTTACATTTGAAGAAAAAGTGTCCAGAATTATTCATACCTTCATAATCGGTCACAGCCTCTGGGAAAATCCAAAGTTGGACACCAGTGGACATTTCAGCACAACAATGACCCAAAACACGCAGCCAAAGTGCTGAATAAACGGTTAGCAGACAACAACACTAACATTTTGCAGAGTCCTGACTTGAATCCAACTGAGAATCAGTGGAGGGAGCTAAAGATCAGGGTGATGGCAACAGGACCCTGCAAACTGAAGGATTTGGTGCTCATTGCAAAAGATGAGTGGGCAAAAATACCTGTGGAGACGTGCAAAAAGCTGCTCTGCAGTTACAGCGTTTGATTGCTGTAACAGCCAAATAAGACTTT